TTATTTTTTATATTACTGTTTTTATTAATTTATCATTTTTATTTTAGTTTTAATTTATCATTATTTTCAAACATCATGTAAAATTAAATCAAAATGACAGATTTTGCTTTGGCAACTAGCTGTTTTTTTTAGATTCTATTTAATTTAATTTAATGTCTATTTAATTTCAAGTAACTTTTTTTAAATGGTTTAATTTTAGTTTCAGTTTTAGTTAACTATAATAACCCTGGTTTTCAGACACTTGCCCTACTTACCCTTGTGCGAAAATGTACACTTAAGCATTTTTACAGAAATAATATACTTTAAAAGAAGCTACTTGAATGTGATGTTTTCAGACACTCAGTGTGCATGTTAATTGCTATAAAATGGAAATTTATTATAGTTGAAATATATATCAAATGTAGTTAGCTGGAGTACTTTTTGACTCACTTAAGTAGGACTTAAGTACATCTTAAAATGTAATGTCATAATTATTATTATCTTACAATTTTGTCGTTTTCATCCATCCTGCACCTTCATGATCAGTGAACATGAGTTCTGCTGGTTAAAGTCTTTTGGCATGTGTGGCAACATGTTTTGAACACTGAGTGTAACTCTTATTCTCACTTATGTTGTGTGTTTCGCTGCTTTCCTCGCTGACGCAGTTTCTTCTTCCTCGTCTTCCAGCAGTCAGAGGAGAATTTCAACCCCAACTGTTATTATACAGAAAATATATAAAATACTATATATTACTATACTATATATAATAGTTAAATGTGTATTTATATTACTACTAATATATATATATATATATATATATACACATTTATATATATACACACACATCATAACTAGCAATATGAGAAAAATGCACTACAACTTGGCTAAAAAATCTAACTAAAATTAAAAAGAAAACTGGAAATATAAAAATGACTGATTTGAAATATAATGGTATCTCAATGATTGTAAGACTATATGATGTAATCATCCCGGGCTGAATGTCTTTTGCTCTGAAGAAATCAGAAGAAAGACGTGAGGTGTGTTTATGTGGAGCAGATCTCTGTGGAGACTGTTTATTGTGTGCTGATGACTCCAGGCTGTGAGGTGCATTGTGGGAGATCAGCGGGTGGGCGGTCTTTATCTCTCCATATGATCCATGATCAACGACGATTCCCAGCTGAGCGACTTAATACACGCCGAACAAACACGCATACGCTGGTTTATATGCATTGTTACTGTTGCTTTCAGTTGGTTTTGTGTGTTTTTTAAAGGCCAGCATGATGCGTCTGATGTGCAGCTCGACGCCTGCTGAGTTTTTGTGAGTCGCTGCCATGCATTGTTTTCAACCGCTCACCTATTAGTGCTATTTGACTATTTCTGTGTTGTTGTTTCTCTGTTGATGTCTATTGTTGTGTCGGTGTGGTTGAGCACAGGGGTTTTTCTCCGTCTGGCAGGCGTGGGGTCGCATGGGACGGAGCCTCAGCCAGGTGCATTTAGTCTAAAAGCTTCATTTACATTTTCCATTCAATGACAGATTTTGCTTTGGCAACTAGCTGTTTTTTTTAGATTCTATTTAATTTAATTTAATGTCTATTTAATTTCAAGTAACTTTTTTTAAATGGTTTAATTTTAGTTTCAGTTTTAGTTAACTATAATAACCCTGGTTTTCAGACACTTGCCCTACTTACCCTTGTGCGAAAATGTACACTTAAGCATTTTTACAGAAATAATATACTTTAAAAGAAGCTACTTGAATGTGATGTTTTCAGACACTCAGTGTGCATGTTAATTGCTATAAAATGGAAATTTATTATAGTTGAAATATATATCAAATGTAGTTAGCTGGAGTACTTTTTGACTCACTTAAGTAGGACTTAAGTACATCTTAAAATGTAATGTCATAATTATTATTATCTTACAATTTTGTCGTTTTCATCCATCCTGCACCTTCATGATCAGTGAACATGAGTTCTGCTGGTTAAAGTCTTTTGGCATGTGTGGCAACATGTTTTGAACACTGAGTGTAACTCTTATTCTCACTTATGTTGTGTGTTTCGCTGCTATCCTCGCTGACGCAGTTTCTTCTTCCTCGTCTTCCAGCAGTCAGAGGAGAATTTCAACCCCAACTGTTCGTTCTGGAGCTACTCGAAGCGCAGTATGACGGGCTTCTGGTCGACCCAGGACTGCCGGCTGCTGGGAACCAACCGAACGCACACCACCTGCTCCTGCACACACCTCACCAACTTCGCTGTGCTCATGGCTCACGTGGACGTGAAGGTAGAGACGCCGCAAACACATCTGTCCCAGATATAAACATCAGACGATTTATCTGTCAGCACGTGAAAACACTGCATGCCGATCACAGCAGAAATGGTTTGTAAAACCATTTTAGCTCTCGCTTCAGTCCAACAATTTACACATTGCAACAATTATGCATGTTTTACAAATCGAACTATTACGAACACCCCCAAATATGTAATATATCTTATTAAAGTGTTTCTTGTCATCTAGCATAGTGAAAACCAGCAATCCACTCTACAAAAACATAAACACTAAAACTGAAAGCTATTATGTATAATGAATTATAAATAAATTATTGTAATTGTTAAAATGCATTATAATATTTGAAATCTGAAATTGGTTGTTTACTATGTGTTTTAATGCATTATACTTTCTAAAAGTGTAACAATGCATAAATAAGTGTTGTAATGTATTATAACTGTGATTTTAATTATTCATGAGATCATACAGTGCATTACAAGGCATAATTCATGCATTTAAAATACTTTCATAATGCATTATGTATAAACGCTTCAAGTGTTACCCAGGGTTTTTAGGTTTTAGTTAAATAAAACCATAAAAATAACATTTTTGTTGTTTGAAATACAATAAATATTAACTGGAAAAAAATTTGAAACATTTCTCATTTTAATTTAGTTTAACTTATATATGTAAGTTAAACTAAATTATATCTCAATGATTGTAAGACTATATGATGTAATCATCCCGGGCTGAATGTCTTTTGCTCTGAAGAAATCAGAAGAAAGACGTGAGGTGTGTTTATGTGGAGCAGATCTCTGTGGAGACTGTTTATTGTGTGCTGATGACTCCAGGCTGTGAGGTGCATTGTGGGAGATCAGCGGGTGGGCGGTCTTTATCTCTCCATATGATCCATGATCAACGACGATTCCCAGCTGAGCGACTTAATACACGCCGAACAAACACGCATACGCTGGTTTATATGCATTGTTACTGTTGCTTTCAGTTGGTTTTGTGTGTTTTTTAAAGGCCAGCATGATGCGTCTGATGTGCAGCTCGACGCCTGCTGAGTTTTTGTGAGTCGCTGCCATGCATTGTTTTCAACCGCTCACCTATTAGTGCTATTTGACTATTTCTGTGTTGTTGTTTCTCTGTTGATGTCTATTGTTGTGTCGGTGTGGTTGAGCACAGGGGTTTTTCTCCGTCTGGCAGGCGTGGGGTCGCATGGGACGGAGCCTCAGCCAGGTGCATTTAGTCTAAAAGCTTCATTTACATTTTCCATTCAGAGCCCAGGTTCGGCTTTACCTGGAGTGAAACAGAAGAACAATTGACAGGAAAAAGTGAAAAACAGTGAAAAATAAGGGGGAGAAAAGACATTTTGACGGATGAAAGAAAGGCCCTGTGGAGCGCCGTCGACAGCCGTGGCTCTCGAGAGAACGAGAGAGAGGAGTAGATCGCTGACAGACGTTTTGATTAGCAAGTGAGAAGGGAAAACTGCAGATCTCCTTCAGGTCCTGGTGTTTAAAATAACATTTTGCCACTCAGATTTAATTTACAGTGTGTGAGTCACATCTGGAAGTAGAGGTCAATGAATGGTGAGGATTGGAGACAGACCTATTTTAGGCAGTGACACGCCCACCACCTAATTGGACACGCCCCCATGCTTAAACACACCCACATTTGAGCATGAGTGCCAGTGTTGATGTTGATAACTAAAACTATTACAAAAATTGTTCATAATGGAAACAAAATGGCTAGAAAACATAAATATCAGATGAAAAACTCGAAAATTTAAAACTAAAATAAAAATAAGTTGAAGTACTAAATTTACAAAATCTACAACTAAAGAGAAAATAAATTAAAGCTATTATTAATTACAATATTAATAAATATTATAATAGTTTCTAAACAATAATAAAATAAGGAGGACGCACGTCATCAGACATAGACACGCCCACATTATGCTTAGCCACACCCGTCACATTTGGCCACACCCCATCATGGGTTAGTTCCATTCACTACAGGCTTGAACACACCCACCTTGGGCTGAGCCACACCCACATCAGACATGGACACACCCACTATGGGCTTAGCCACACCCACTGTAGATTTGGTTTGTGGGCATGTCTGTTTTTTAGTCCAAAATTGGAGCTTGTGGTCCTTCAGAAAAACAGTTCTGAGTGCTTGTGTTGTCAGGCGCACGATCAAACAAGTAAACCGGATCTCATTAACTAGAGAGAGAGAGAGAATTTGTCATTTTTTTGACAAATTAATCTTTTTGTGCACGAAAGAAAAAAAAAATCAAAATACTTTAGAAATGTTGCCTTGGCTACTAACTGAAACAAAGTAAGTTGACATAGTACATTTAATAAAACTAAAACCGAAATGAAAATAATTTGAAGCAAATTAGAAATATATAAAAATAAAACAAAAGCACATTAAATTAATAAAACTTCAACTAAAATTGAAACAAACTAACTTTTGTGAAAATGTTCTACAATTTTTTTTACACAGGCAAACATGAAAAAAAAAAACTAAACAGTAAAAAAATAATAATAAATAAAACTTAAAAATGAGAAATGTTGCCTTATAAGTTGCTTTGGATAAGAGTGTCTGCTAAATGATAAAATGTAAATGTAAATATGAAAAAAAAAATCTGAAATACTAAAATTACTAAAACTAAAACTTAAATGTAAATAAATGAAAGCAAAGCAAACAAAACAAAGTTGTTTTTTAGTATTTTAGTTGACAAAGCAATTTTGTCACACTGCTTGAACTGCCAAACTGCATTGTTAAGGGAAAAAATGAAAAGTTAACAATTAGAAATGTTAAAATACAATAAGTTGAAATACTAAAATTACTAAAACTAAAATTGTAACTAATTTAAGCTAAATATAAATGTTAAAATAACAAAAAAAAAA